AGGCAGGTGGGCGCGGGCTGGGCGGTGCGCAGGTGTGGGGGTAGGCGGGAGGGAGCAGGTGTTGCTGCCTTTCACGTCCTTCACGGTCACCGAGAAAAGCCGGGAAAAAGCGTGTGCCAAGGTGCGCAAAGCTTGGCATGTTGACTTCATCGGCGTAGAAAGCTCTAAACTAATCTCGTAGCTCCGTGCGATGACTCGAGCCTCGTCAGGCACCCGGCCGGTGCCGCCTGACGGCATCGCTTTCCCACGCGAGGCGAGGGACGGCGGCGCGGCCTGAGGGGAGAAGAGGGGACCGCCGCGTGCCCGCTCCCTCGTCTGGCCGTTGTTCGTTCCTCTGCCGTCAGCTATTCTCAAACTTGACTTTAATCTCTCAGCTGCCCAACAACACTGTAAATGCTTCCTTAAAACACCTCCCCAGGAGACACAGGACGTGAGGACTTTAAAGATCATTAAAAATACAGGTGCAATGTACCCTGCTGTTACTTTTCCACATAAGCAATTAATGTATGTAGTAGTATGCAATTAGTCTAAGGCAGCCTATTGACATGTAATACCAAGAATGAAAAACTCCCTTTGCTAGTAAGATTCAGTGTGAAATCTTACTGTTGTCATTAGTTATAAGATTTATTCTAGGAAGATGGCAAGAAATACATCCCATTTCATTGTTTCCCCCTGTACAGGGCAATTAAAGTGTAACTGGTCTCATTTGTTATGGTAATGAGGAGAGGCCTTTTTACTCCTTCCTCATCTTTTGTTAATAATTTGCTAGATATCTTTATTCAGGTGCTCTGAGTTAGTGAGCATATTCAGGGAAAGGTCATATCAAGTTTCTGATCGTGTACTCTAGAAAAAACATACCAAGTGGTAAATGTATGAACTAACATCTCTGTGTGGAATAGGCTGAAAGGCAGGGCAGAGATAATACCAAATACATCTGTTGGGCAAAAGTCTGTTTCTTTGAGGTTCTCTCTTCATATACACGTGTTCAGGTTGAGTTACCCTCCATTATATTGTTCTTTATTTTACACGATACTTTTCATCTAAGGATCTCAAAGCACTCTTCAATTAATTACCATTCATTTGATAATGGTGGAAAACAAAGAAAGGATAAGTTACAGAAACTTCGACATAACCGTCTAAACCATTCAGACTAGGACACAAGGTTCTGCCATTTTTTTTCCCCACTGCAAAACATAAAACTGCAATGATAATTGTGAAGTACATGCTTTCTTATCCTTTACACCTCCACATTTGTATTCCTCAGCTTATCAATAAAAAATGGCTTCCAGTGTAGATCTTTATCCGCACAGATTTGTATGGGGGTTTGTATGGGGTTTTTTCCTGTAGCTCTCCTCCCTTTCTAAAATATTTTTTTGAGCTGGTGGTTCTGCAACAAAATATTACAAGACTATTTTTTTCTTTTCACTCTCAAAAATCTGTTACAATCAAGGTATTCAACAAGTATTGCGACTCTCACCCCTACTGTACTGTCCCCTGCCTCCCAGGATCCAGGGCTCCCCTCTGATACAGACCAGCTGCATAAGCTTGGCTCAGACTCTGAGGAAACTGAAGTTGTGAGAAACAGCTGTGAGAAACTTTACCTTTCTTTCCTTGCAGGACTCTGCAGCCTGAGGTAGGATTGTTGAGATGGGGATGACTCAAGGATTCAACTTCGAAATACCATGGAAAAACGTCAACATGGAAAGGTCGATGCCTGAACACAGTGACAGTAAGGAAACACAACTTGACCTGACTTAAAATCTAAACCCTCTGCGTGATACAGTGGATTTACCTGGGTGTCAACTTTCCTTATTATTAACGACAGTTTTTAGAAGGTTGTTGAACAATTCACCCAAGAGTATCTGGAAGGATGTAGCTCCCTGATTTCCAAGTAGCTTGCTGGACATCAGGTGGCACTGGTTCACCACCAGCAATCTAAATTGAGACAATGCAGCATTTGTCTAGTATAATACACTGGATTCGATGTTGTGCTTAATTCCTAATCCTTCCTATAGGTGGATATTAAATCAATTTATCTACTCTTCACCTTTATATGTTATTACAATTTGAACTGATTTAGAGAGAGAGAGAGAGAATAAAATCTGTGTTTGAAAGACCTGGGATTCTTACAAAATGTTATTTCTGCAAAAAAAAAAAATTCCGTAAATGCACTGGAACTCAATTATATGAGATATATAGTTACATAGCTATCCACTAGCTAGTCAAAAAAGGCAGCCGCAGAGCAGTTTCCTTCCTTTAAACAAAAAAAAGAACTTAAAATTTTTCTGTGAGTTGTTTACAGATAGATTAAGAGGCACCACTGAATAAAAACACAGGGCTAATATTTTAATAAATTATATTTAGGATAGACATACTTTTTATTTTTGTAATCTTTTATTATTTGTGAGGTAGGAAAACAAATGCCTTTGGCCTCTGATATCCTTTCCAGTGAACTTTTTTTTGTTGTTTAAGAAAGATAAAGTACCATAGGAAGAAGATCTGGTATTTCTTTTCAAACAAAGTCATGAAAAAGAACCATTGGTTCTTTTAAATACAGATCATTGTTCATGATAAAATATGTATCTTTCACTTATAGACTTTTCCTACTTATTGCAGAGAGTGAAATAGGAAAAAAAGTCTCTCTTCCCTGTAGAGACAATTCCTGACCTTGTCCGGGAGAACCCAGCCTCTCAGTCAAATATGTTCTAGATGAAACACGCACAGGCTGAGAGCTCAATTCCTAAAGACCATAACGAAAGTGAAGCATTGATCTAAAAAGCAAACTTTGGACATGGGGTTAACTCTTTCAGAATAAAGGGTGTAGTAAGTCACACAGGTTTCAGTAAATTAAAAAGGAACAGATAAACCACCTGAACCCACATCTATCACCAGAAACCTGTTTTTTGCGTGGGAAGGGAGAGGAAGGATTTAGATGAGTTGCGGGAAACAAATCAGTACGGCAGCACGGTGCCTGGGCTAGGACTAAGCATAACAGACTGAGCATAGCTTACCTGTTTGCTACTTGAGATAGCAAGTAAGGGTGATGGAAAGGTGCCTTACAGCTAAATCCTTGCTTTTAACAAATGTTACAGTATGATTGGAACTACAAATGGTCCAATGCCACTTAAGTGTACATCGTTGATGGAGGAATGGACAAGAAAATTGTTTTCAGCTTTGTTTACTTGAAAAGAACTTCTAAGCATAGAGCAGGGTTTTCTAACACTTAAGTCCAAGAACAGCTGTAGTTGTTCTCAGGTACTGAAAAATTCAGGAACTAGAAGAAAAAGTTGTTTGGAAATCATGTCGTGAAGAAGTATACTGACTAGACTAATACAGCACACGGTAAAAAAATGTGAAGGCTGCCAGCAAACAGAGTGCATGTTCAAACACGCTGCTTCTGCATACCTCAAAACAGCCAAGTACTCTGGAGCAGCAAATCTACATAAAGGACTGGGGACGTAAGTCTGAACTTGCTTTTCATTTCTACTGTAAATAGACTGATATATCCTGGATGAACTTAACTCACTCAAAGCAGACAGTGGAAGCCCTTAAGATTTATTTTTAAGGATTGGCACTTCTGTACTTGTTGTAAGGGAAACAAAGTAGTCTTATCAGAAGAGTTCCAATTCCTTTGTCAAAATAAATAGATGAGATAGACTACATTAGGTCTTCACCATCATGTCACAAAATGGCAAGTGATGAATGATGTCTCTCTCTACATCAGTAACTCAAAACTCTGAGCGCATATTTTACGTTAAAGGGAACGATGAACTGTACAGTGTTTTTTTGAACCTTCTACATCATCCACCATACAAAACCACCGGAGATTGTATATTGCATTGGCAAGTATTTAATAACCATGGTTATTTATTACTCAGTTGTGCCCATGCTGTTTCTTCATG